CAGTAAACTCAGTTGTCTGAGGATTGCCTTACAATACATGTACATGTAGCTTTGCTACTAGCTTTGCTACATGTACTGTATATGACTGTGCATGATTGGTCATGTACAATCCGATGTATATGTACATGTATGTGCATAAAACGCAGCAGTACAACAATGACCTACATCATTACATGTACACTAGGCTACAGTCCATTCACTATAAGTGTGCACTGTTATTACTGGCAAATTTTTTCTGAGTGAATGCACGCTTGCTTGCTGCTCCTTAAAAAAAACCGGATCAAAATCTGTCCAAATTTGAGAGAGAAAATGGAAAATTGATTTGTAGGTATAGCCGGTACTAGTACATGTATGAGTGCAATATGTTGTGACTTGTGTATGGAATTTTGGAATCGTGCCGATAAAGTGTGACCGTCTCCGCAAGGCATTGTTATCACTGCACAATACTTTGTTACTTTACTAGTCTTTAGTGTAGAATGATAGAATCCTGTTGTCCCTCAGTACGTACTCGTTTGTACATGTATGTAACCAACCTTAAGTAAGAAGAAGACAATCATGGAATTATTTAAACTCGGATACTGAGCCAGTATCGCTGAATGTCTCAGTAGTCTGTCAGTTTTGTGCCCTTTTATCGCACTTTCTGACCGTTAATCATCTTGTTACAGTCGTGGATAGTTGCTGCATTTATTTATTTATTTATTTATGCACCTCGTGGCATGTCAAGACAGCCAATGGAATTGAGGAGAGGGTGAGACCAACCACGGAAGAAGAGAAAAGAAAAGAAATGAAGAGCGCGTACACAAAGTGGGAAGGGATTAGCAACTTACAAAGCAATGGGATGCTCAGCGAGCTATGCAGCGGAAGTGGTGACTGTGATTTTGTTTACTGGGAGATACTGAAGTGCTGTCTGACGAGGGTACGGAACATACATGTAACTCGTTCTCATGTGTTTCTTCTCTTTTTTACAATCATAGAAATTACACTTTACGAAGTCGTAGTGACTGTGTGTTACGCAAAACGAGCCCGGGTTACTGATATTACCTGGATGCGAAGAGCTAACATTGCCATGTGAATTTGCAGTATTTTGATTGTATTTGCCTATTTGGGAACGGGCAGGTACTGCCAGGTAGCGGGCATTAGCGGGCATTGAAACTGAAAGGTAGGGGGCAAGTCGCGGGTAGGTTACTTGAGACAGTTTCCATTACCAATATTCCTATCTGCTGACGTCATGGCTGTTATGGTCACGTGCATGTGATTATAAACATGTACATGTTTATATGTACATGTTTAGGTACATGTATAACAAAGTAGTTAGTACTAGTAGTTACTCTGTTGTTTGTTCATTACTGGCTAGTAATAGTGAGAGCAGACTTGCAAGGAAGCAGAGTTTCAGTTTTCTCGTTGCCCCCTGTCCCAGTCACTGAATATGCGCTGCTCATCAAGCACAGCTCAAAATACCCTAGTGTACTGGCATCATGCCAATGATACGTTGAGGAATAATTATTTATAAAGTATTAGAGTCAGTCTCTTTATGCGTCTGACTGACACAATTGTGCATGTCATATTTTAGCAATAGTGTACAATCATGTACATGCAGTTGTTAGATTGACAGCATGAAACAAGTACAACAAGGTTTATCTAATACTGGTTTACCAGTTTTGGATTATATCAAATCATGTACATGTACATGTACACTCAATCTACGTACAGAACTGTTTCGTCCTTTGGCTTTGTGGACTCATCAGCGCAGCACAGAGAAAACGCAATCCAGTATTCCAGGTACATGATGATTGTAGTGTCATGATCATATCCTGTGGCATATCCTGCACTGAGATGGATTGCCGACAAAGTTACCGCCAATAATATTACCCTTCTATTTATCAAAATGTCCGCAGAATACATTGCACACACATCACAACGAATGTACTGGGTGCTACGGTCTAGACTTTCTTGAGATAATGTTAATTGTTATGCAGTAGCTTACTGCGGGATGTAAAAGAGGAGGGTATTTTGGTGCATGGCCCCGCAGTAAAACAATGCTGCGATAACCAGGAAAAAGGAAGTACGTTTTCCAGGGGCACAGACCAGGTCTAAATCGGGAGGTGGTGCATGCCTGCAGCAGGTGCCAATGAGAAAAGCTCGCATCCATTAGGGAAGAGACGCCCACGCGGTTCGTGAAGAGATAATGTATCAATCATTGGCCGTACCGGTGATCGGGTTTCCCCTCGAAGGCAGTGCTGATCACAATACTCCAATGCCGCCATGGATGCATCCACATGCAACTGCCATTGTACATGTGTACATGCATGTGGAATCATATCATTGACATGGAAAATAATTGCCGGAATCATTATACTTTAAAAAATATTGACATTCCCCTTCAACCTTCTGAATACATAGCGACATTGTTTGGCCATTCATCCGTTTACATGCAATCGTCAAACTGTTGATTTGCTACAGATCTGCAACATGTCAAACGCACAGTCCCTGACGATGCAGCACATACCAAACTACAGTATGTTGTACAACCACTGGAAAGCAATTAAATAGTTTACTAACTAAGTACAACTTCAAGACATTCACGGTTGTGTTATGTGCGCACGTGGTAGTTATTTGGGGTTCGCATCAAATTACCTGAACGAAGCTACTACATGTATAAACTAACTTTGCTTGCAGGGACAATGTGAAATATGGTCCTGTCCGCTTCGTCATGCAAAATATGGATGCCCAGAATGAAGGGATACCGGCTGCTTTGCAGACGTCCCCTTGCAGCAGCACCAGCTGCCTAGCATTATGCCCAGGCGTATTATCCCGGCCGTTGCGAAGCTGCGGAGTGTCCATGCTGCTGAAGAGTCAGACTGAGCATACTAGTAGTCCCCTCTGTAACTCCCTCTCTTATCTTTCATTCCCTCTCTCTCTCTTTCTCTCCAACACACACCACACACACAGACACACACACACACGCACGCACACACACGCACACACACACACACATTCCATACATGTATACACACACGCACCGTCACACACACACACACAAACACACACACACCGTGACTGACACACTCACACGGTGACACACACACACACACGCGCGCACACGCGCGCACTGATAGCAATACACTGCTGGGTTACAGGTGCCAGTATTTGATAGTAACACTAGTCAGGCCTTGATAAATTTCGTTTTGTTTCCCGAGCACACTTTAGAGCTTAGAAGCAAGGGCAAATATACACCATTGTACACTGACTGTATGACCACATCTAGTTTGATCTACCGCTTGTTGTCGGCTTGGAAGAGGTCATGGGCCAGATCGGGGGTCGCCAGAAAGGTCTACTCTTGCATAATACTTGTTACCGGTAGACAGTATAATAATACTAACGTCTTGTTAGTTAGACAATTACATGTATGTACTCAACAGGGTCATGCCATGGGAGTCATGGGCATTTTTTCCTCCCGGTACGGATAAGGGTCACTCGTGCACATGCACAGAGACCTGCATGCATGCTACGAAGTACGATACCAGTACTACTACTAGGCAGTACAGTATGATGTGTGGTGCTGCGGGCCTTTTTTGGTGTCAGCCTATGGCCTAGCGCATTGACTATGTATGTGTATGTGCGCACGCACCGCCCGCACGGGTACAACAAGAATGCATGCAGTCCCTCACATGCACACGTCAGGAGGACGGGGAAGAGTACCCGATCACGCGTCCACCTACGCGCATACGCCCCCCTAAACAGCACCGCGCGCATGCAGATGAGATCCCGATGACTGTCACTGACTTGTGTTGTGACTTGACACCGGATGGGTGGTTGCACTGCATGCAGTACTGCTAGTACTAGTATAGTACTAGTACTAGAGCAAAATGGCATTCACCACGTGCACAGCTAGCACTCGTCTACCTACCTTGTAACCTAGTACCTAGCTACAGACTGACTGTTCAGCAAGACACGAACATGTCCTTGCAGACCACCAGCCGTAGCTAAAATAAGTGTGTGCATTATGTCCGCGATCCTGGCAAGCTGTCTGAGGCTTCATGATGTGATTGACAGGGCTAGGGTGCTTTTGAACTCCAGCAACAAATGCACCACTTGCGGCGAGGGCCACGTGACACGTGAACGGTAAATCACCCTGTCAGTGTCACTCACCGCATCTTCTCACCATCTTTACTAGCAAAGCGCTTGCGCGGAGATCCGATCGCATTCCATGTACAGACATAGAGACAGACTGTATACTAGTACTACTAGATCTGGTGGCATTTGCAGGGCCCGGCCAGAGCTAGAGTCCAGATCAAGATCGGATTTCTTTGGCAGTAAACTGTAAACACGGTAAAGCATGGTGTACGTGTGCGCATACTCCACACTCCACACTCCACGTACACTCACACTGTCACAGATATGACGATTTCCATGAATACTGGTAGTGGTAAGCATGGTATAAGACAAAGTGGCGCATGGGATCTGCATGTAGACCTACAAGGCTACATGTATACAGCCATGCCACAATAAGTCAAGTGCATGCTGCTAGCCCGGCCGGGGCGCCCATAATCCATGTACATGTAATGGTAGATCTATAGCTAGTGCATGCATGCTAGCCTACATGTAGTCTAGTATCCGCTAGCCGGCGCGCGCGCTATCTAGCAGCAGCGCGATGTCTCGCGTGCGCGTGCGCGTCTGCAAACACTCGTCAAACCGGTTTGGTAGGGAATTATTTGGCCATGCTGAGCAACAGTCAGTCACTGCCAACAGTACAGACAGACTCAGTGTAGCCAAGCGACAGCTAGCTAGCTCTGGTCGGTTTTGACAGAGCTAAACATACACAGACAGTTAGTCAGCACACTGCACAGACCACTACAAACCACTTCATGTTCAAACGCAGCCCACGACAACGGTGCCGTATGACTGCGTGTAGTGAGATGTACACAGCTTTCATTCTTGCATGCATGCTTCAGTCACGCAGAAAAGGGAGAGAAAGAAAAAAATCCCCTAGTGAACAGCCCGCTTCCCTGTAAGTATCGCTGCATCTCCGCCTAGCGCCTATATGTAACACTACATTGCGCGCAGCCAGCGCCATTACTTAGTAGCTAGGTGATAAAGAGAGTTGGAACCGTGTCGCGCTGAGCCTCTCCTTTCTGCATTCTTCTTGGAAAGCAGTGCATTGCTGTTAGACCTTCGTTCTTGTCCATTCCAAGCCTTTGAGCGTTGTTGGAGCTGTCTGCTGACTTCGACTCTCACACATCACTATGGATCCGAAGACGAAGCATAATTTTCGTCCCGAGGTGGACCGTTTGGATAAGAAGATGTCGGCGATGGCGGTGGATGACAAGGAGTCATACGACAGCTGCATCAGTACAATGTCGTCTATTGACCAAGATTCCAATAGTTACTGCTTGTCTGGAGCATCTTACCAGTCAAGCTTCCCTGGCGAACAAACTCGCCTTCGTCACAAGGGTGAGATCTCGGAAACGAACGAGAGTTTAGGGTATGGCAGTATGGTCGCTAGTCTTGAGGAGCCGCAGTCAGCGACGGCACAAGCGCCAGAGACTCCAGCGCCAGCGACAGTCGAGCAACCCAGGAAAGAGCCATCGATTACACTACCCGTCAACAACCTCTTCTCTAGCGTGCTTCGCCAAGCCCTTAGCGACCCTAGCGCACTGAAACCCCATGACCTTGGCGATCCTATTAGCGAGCAGGATGGAGCCGACGCAGCGCCGCAAGAGGACGAGCAGCGAAGTGTTTCGACTGAGCCATACCAGGACAACACACATGTTCATAACTATGCGTGCTCCGGAGAGAATGAATACTTGCTCGCCCCGTTCCGTGCAGTTCTGGCGGAGCAAAACGAAGACGGAGACTCGTAAGTAATTTGTTTAGTCCGATTTGAATTTTTGCCGTGACGGTACTTGAAAGGATCCATCGAAAGTTGTTTTCAGACTGCCGTAGCTCTGGACATTTTGAAAAGAACCACTGTGATAGTTCTGTGGTTCTTTGCAGAATCCAGATCCTTGGCTCACTCTTGGCGTTTCCTTTTGTTGCATATTCTCTCTTTCTGTACAGGTCGCTGCATTTGGGAATCATCCATGGTCAAATCCCTGTCGTTGAGCAGATAGCGGCCGTGTGGCATGGCGTACCGGAATACTTGAATGTTCAGAACAATCTAGGCCAGGTATGCCTCATCGACACACGCATTGATTGCTGCATGATCGTTACTGGTGCGGGGTTGTGCAATACAGATGTCACTCCGCAACCAGATCGTATGGAATTTCGTATTGGTAAATCTGTGGGGTGATGCTGGATGTTCTTTTTCCTCAGAAACATGCGCACTGATTCCCAGACTTCTTGGATCTGGACGAAAGCTTCTTTTTGCCTTGCACTCATATGTTGTTCTTGTGGTGTCGTTGTTTGTTATTGCAGACTGGCATGCACTTGGCAATCGTGACTGGACAACCTCGCATTGTGGAGCGACTGCTCTGGGCTGGTGCTGATCCGTGTAGGAGGGACCGCCACGGCGACACATGCCTCCATCTGGCCGCCAAATATGCCGACAAAACCAGCGCCAACCTCATTCTGTCTGTGTGCCAACGCCACAACATCCGCAGAGCGACACTGGAAGCTAGAAACTATCATGGTAGGTTTGAGTTGAGTGAGTTGAGCTGTGGATTGGTGGCTGTGGATTATCATTGTTTCCGATATCAAAATCACCAATTAAGTCTAATGTGTTCCTTTCGTTCTGGCAGATTTAGGTTGCTAAAGTTGCGATCTTTGTTTGCTGTTTCTTCTGTGCGTTCAGGATTCACTGCGACACACATCTGTGTACAGCGCAACCATCGTGACATGCTGGGTTTCCTGGTTGCTACCTGGGGAGCTGATGTAGATGCAGAGGTGAGCATTCTAGAACTGCAGACTGCAAGTGTTTGGAATGATGCATGCAAGCAACACACTGTGCATTTAACTGATATTTGCAACTGGAGCATGCATATAGGGCTTGTTTGGATGCAATTTCCACTGTTGTCTTCCCACATGATGGCACTCCGTTGAGCTGACTGTAATATCTTGTGTTTTGATGTTTGTGTGTTTGTAGGACTACACGGCAGGGAGATCACCACTGCATCTAGCCGTGGAGGAGGAGCACATCAGCATTGCAAGCACACTGCTCTTCACCCTCAAAGCGAATGTCGACGCGCAGATGTACGGCGGACAGACCCCGCTGCATATAGCCGCGGGCCGCGCGAACCAGGGCATGGTGGCATTGCTAGTCGCTGCTGGTGCCCGCACTGATATTGCAGACGGTGAAGGCGAGCAGCCCGCGGATCTGACCTACAACACGCAGATCCTGCGCCTTTGCAATGCATAACGCTCGTCACGACCCCGAACAATGTCTCTGAACCGCCTTGCCTTCACCAGGCATCGTGATAGTATGCCCTGAAAAAAGCCCACACAGAAGCCTATGCCGAGCATGGCACCCAGAACCGACGTAGACCATCAAAGTATTTTCCGTCCGAGTTGTTGTTGTTGTTGTGTTGTTTAAAAGCTAGAACAGCATTTGCTTGTTCCTACCTGTTGTCGCTGCTGTTGTGCACACTTGAGATTTGTCTAACATTTTACCATGGATATTTAGAGGGATATTCTTTCGTATCCTGCACGCTGGGTGGATACACATTATTCGACTTGATTCTTTCAGTTATCTTCTAATCGCAGCCTCCCCGCATTGGACTTGAGCTCACCCCACTCACTTTTCTAACAAAAAAAAGCTTGCATAGCTAGCTGCTTTGCGCTGAATCGTACAACTTGTGAAGTACTTGAGAATTATAATTATATTATTCGATTCATCTTGCAAATGGAATGAAACTGTTCCTCCCGCAGATATTCGTGATGTGTTCGTGACTTGGTGTAGTGCTTCAGAAGAAGAAAAAATGAAAAGAAGCCATTGATCCAGGCCCATTCGCACATGATCGTGAATCACTAATCTTGATGATGCAAAGATGAGTGAAAATGAGGGTTTTTGGGGCGAGAATTCTGAGCCTAGCGCCTGGAGAAACATGACTCACAAGTATTAGTTTACGGAGAGCAGGGAACCTTTTTTGCAGCGCTTTGCAGAGTGAAGACTGAAGAGTAATGACACAAAACATTCCACGTTACTTCAGCTGCTGCTGTGATTCATGCATCTGGAAAATCTGTGGATAACGACGTAACCGTTACTTATGCTGGCCACGCGGTACTACATGTACAATGGACTTTGGTCCAGTTTGGATTTCGCAGGAGTCACCACTGCATTTACCGTGGCATTGGCTTGGGCACGCGCACACACCAGTACTCGTAGTACTGTACTGGCGGTAGGCGATCTCTAGCTCTGTAATGCATTTCCAAACTCTGCTTCCCGGTTTGAAGAAACATAGCGGTTGGGGTACAATTCGTGCTAAATGACTTGTTTTCTACCATTGAGCATCAATTATTTCCAGACTGATGATGTGGGATTACACAGTTGGCTTTGCTGCAAAGAGCATTGTTTCAGGGCCACGAAGGTAGGTTTTTCTTTTTCCCAATAGAGATGACACATCTGAAAACATTTTTCGAAAATGTCTTCAGTGACATGTGTCATGATCTCAGCACTAATGTTAGTGAGATCATGCACCCCTCTTGGCTAACTACTCAGTTTCTTTTGATTGACACTTTCTAGGGAGCAGTGCGCTATTGTCAATTTCAGTGCTCCCCCATTCGTGCTAGGCGATAAGAAATGATTATTTAGAGTATTTCCATCAGTTATACCGAGCGAGGAATCCGAGATACATGTCCCAAACCGGCAACGGTAGTGAATCCAGAATCATCCTATACAGATCAGTATCATGTATACCGGTATGTCCATGTGTGTGTGTGTGTGTGTGTGTGTGTGTGTGTGTGTGTGTGTGTGTGTGTGTGTGTGTGTGTGTGTGTGTGTGTGTGTGTGTGTGTGTGTGTGTGTGTGTGTGTGTGTGTGTGTGTGTGTGTGTGTGTGTGTGTGTGTGTGTGTGTGTGTGTGTGTGTGTGTGTGTGTGTGTGTGTGTGTGTGTGTGTGTGTGTGTGTGTGTGTGTGTGTGTGTGTGTGTGTGTGTGTGTGTGTGTGTGTGTGTGTGTGTGTGTGTGTGTGTGTGTGTGTGTGTGTGTGTGTGTGTGTGTGTGTGTGTGTGTGTGTGTGTGTGTGTGTGTGTGTGTGTGTGTGTGTGTGTGTGTGTGTGTGTGTGTGTGTGTGTGTGTGTGTGTGTGTGTGTGTGTGTGTGTGTGTGTGTGTGTGTGTGTGTGTGTGTGTGTGTGTGTGTGTGTGTGTGTGTGTGTGTGTGTGTGTGTGTGTGTGTGTGTGTGTGTGTGTGTGTGTGTGTGTGTGTGTGTGTGTGTGTGTGTGTGTGTGTGTGTGTGTGTGTGTGTGTGTGTGTGTGTGTGTGTGTGTGTGTGTGTGTGTGTGTGTGTGTGTGTGTGTGTGTGTGTGTGTGTGTGTGTGTGTGTGTGTGTGTGTGTGTGTGTGTGTGTGTGTGTGTGTGTGTGTGTGTGTGTGTGTGTGTGTGTGTGTGTGTGTGTGTGTGTGTGTGTGTGTGTGTGTGTGTGTGTGTGTGTGTGTGTGTGTGTGTGTGTGTGTGTGTGTGTGTGTGTGTGTGTGTGTGTGTGTGTGTGTGTGTGTGTGTGTGTGTGTGTGTGTGTGTGTGTGTGTGTGTGTGTGTGTGTGTGTGTGTGTGTGTGTGTGTGTGTGTGTGTGTGTGTGTGTGTGTGTGTGTGTGTGTGTGTGTGTGTGTGTGTGTGTGTGTGTGTGTGTGTGTGTGTGTGTGTGTGTGTGTGTGTGTGTGTGTGTGTGTGTGTGTGTGTGTGTGTGTGTGTGTGTGTGTGTGTGTGTGTGTGTGTGTGTGTGTGTGTGTGTGTGTGTGTGTGTGTGTGTGTGTGTGTGTGTGTGTGTGTGTGTGTGTGTGTGTGTGTGTGTGTGTGTGTGTGTGTGTGTGTGTGTGTGTGTGTGTGTGTGTGTGTGTGTGTGTGTGTGTGTGTGTGTGTGTGTGTGTGTGTGTGTGTGTGTGTGTGTGTGTGTGTGTGTGTGTGTGTGTGTGTGTGTGTGTGTGTGTGTGTGTGTGTGTGTGTGTGTGTGTGTGTGTGTGTGTGTGTGTGTGTGTGTGTGTGTGTGTGTGTGTGTGTGTGTGTGTGTGTGTGTGTGTGTGTGTGTGTGTGTGTGTGTGTGTGTGTGTGTGTGTGTGTGTGTGTGTGTGTGTGTGTGTGTGTGTGTGTGTGTGTGTGTGTGTGTGTGTGTGTGTGTGTGTGTGTGTGTGTGTGTGTGTGTGTGTGTGTGTGTGTGTGTGTGTGTGTGTGTGTGTGTGTGTGTGTGTGTGTGTGTGTGTGTGTGTGTGTGTGTGTGTGTGTGTGTGTGTGTGTGTGTGTGTGTGTGTGTGTGTGTGTGTGTGTGTGTGTGTGTGTGTGTGTGTGTGTGTGTGTGTGTGTGTGTGTGTGTGTGTGTGTGTGTGTGTGTGTGTGTGTGTGTGTGTGTGTGTGTGTGTGTGTGTGTGTGTGTGTGTGTGTGTGTGTGTGTGTGTGTGTGTGTGTGTGTGTGTGTGTGTGTGTGTGTGTGTGTGTGTGTGTGTGTGTGTGTGTGTGTGTGTGTGTGTGTGTGTGTGTGTGTGTGTGTGTGTGTGTGTGTGTGTGTGTGTGTGTGTGTGTGTGTGTGTGTGTGTGTGTGTGTGTGTGTGTGTGTGTGTGTGTGTGTGTGTGTGTGTGTGTGTGTGTGTGTGTGTGTGTGTGTGTGTGTGTGTGTGTGTGTGTGTGTGTGTGTGTGTGTGTGTGTGTGTGTGTGTGTGTGTGTGTGTGTGTGTGTGTGTGTGTGTGTGTGTGTGTGTGTGTGTGTGTGTGTGTGTGTGTGTGTGTGTGTGTGTGTGTGTGTGTGTGTGTGTGTGTGTGTGTGTGTGTGTGTGTGTGTGTGTGTGTGTGTGTGTGTGTGTGTGTGTGTGTGTGTGTGTGTGTGTGTGTGTGTGTGTGTGTGTGTGTGTGTGTGTGTGTGTGTGTGTGTGTGTGTGTGTGTGTGTGTGTGTGTGTGTGTGTGTGTGTGTGTGTGTGTGTGTGTGTGTGTGTGTGTGTGTGTGTGTGTGTGTGTGTGTGTGTGTGTGTGTGTGTGTGGACTTGAATCCAAGATTCCTTTTGAGTCTCTCTCCCCTCTCCCGGGGAGACCCACGTGACCAGTTTTGGCAGTGAGCAACAAGTACAAGTACAAGTACAAGTGTGTGTGTGTGTGTGTGTGTGTGTGTGTGTGTGTGTGTGTGTGTGTGTGTCAGTGTGTATGTATGGGTGCATTTCAGATCTCGCTTTCCTATCACTCAAACTTCGAAGAACTCAAGATGGGAAACAGCAAGTGTTGTATTTCAATATTAATTTATTGTTTGTTTTGTCATGTCAATTGCCTTCGCGCAATTCGGTCTATTCTCCCAAGAGAGAATCACCCATCTCTCTACATTATTGGCAGTCTCAACGACATGCTATGAGATATTGACATAATAATAAAATAATAAAAAGCACATACCGTGATGTCGCGTAAAAAAAAGCAGGTGGTTACGGCCGTATAAGCCGGGGTTCAAACCATGCTTCTACGTCAACATCATCAGTCTGCACTGTGCAGTGCATACTGCCACGCATGTACATGTACGTGCAGGGGCGTCACCGACCCCTTCACAGGGGGGGGGGGGGGGGGGGGGTGCACAGGAAAACCCGAAAAAGTTCGCTGATAGTGAGCTGGCCAGACGCTTTCCTTTTTCGAGAAGACGACATTTTGAGAGGAAATAGCTCCGAAGACTCTTCAAGTGTGGTGACCTGACTAACTTACTTACTTGCGACCACACTGAATTATTTATTTCTTCTGTTTCAAACAAACACCTACTACCTAGCACGCCGCAGCGGGTGTAGATTCTAGTACAAGACCAAAGGATGCAGCGCTGCGTACACGTGCACGCGCGTAGTACTTGTAGGTAAGTACTAAATTAGTACGATCGGTACAATCGGTCATGTCCCCAATATGGCTACTTTACCAACGCAGCTAAATCGGTACTGCTTGTCGAGCCCCAGTTTCTGGTGGAGGCAACCCAGCTCTTTCGCGACACTAATGTTGTCATCAGGACAGAGGGGTTCCGGCATCTTGGTGCAGCAATTGGAAACCCTGTTTTCTGCCAAGAGTATGTAAGCAGGAAGGTGGAGGAATGGTGCCAGCAGCTCCGGGTCCTGACCGGATATTCAACATCCCAGCCGCAAGCAGCTTATGGCGCGTTCGTCTTCGGGCTGAAGCATCGCTGGAGTTTCCTAGCCCGGACTATGGATCTCCCTGCAGATGCTTACCAGCCACTGGAGGACGTCATTTGTCAGTTCCTCATCCCAGCTCTGACAGGCAGGAATCCACCAGGAAGTTCTGAGAGAGCTATCCTTGCTCTCCCCTGTCGGCTTGGCGGGCTGGGCCTCATTGACCCTACCCTGCTCTGCAATCAGTATGGCCAGTCTGTGCAGATCACCGAATGCCTTGTTTCAAGGATCCTGGAACAACACTGGTCCATCGACGGTGTAGCGGCAGCAACCAGAAAAGCTAAATAGGACGCAAGGACGGTGACTCTCCAGCTAGAAGCAGATCACGCAGCCAGCATCTACCAACAGATTGACGCAGACTCGAAACGCATCATCGACTTGGCATCGGAGAAGGGAGCCTCCAGTTGGCTAACGTGTCGGCCCTTAAAACGCCATGGCTTCCGTCTCCACAAGACAGCCTTCCGTGATGGGCTCTGCTTGCGTTTTGGCTGGACTCCGGAGCGTATGCCGAGTCATTGTTCCTGTGGCAAGGTCTTCAACATCGAGCACGCCCTATCTTGTGCTCCGGGTGGATTCCCA